CGACTTTCTCGTGGACTTGTGGAGCCGGAATTTCGTGGAATATTCTGAGAATCTGATACTTCCTAGTTCTACGTTAGCATTGAACTGGTTGCACATTGGCCAACTCTTTTTCATGGAACAAGACGCTCCACCCAATCAGATGGTCTTGTGATTGGACCTTTAGGTTAGTTGTAGAGGTGGTAAACCTTGTGAGCAGTGGCGGAGCTACAACAAAAATCCTCGGTGGGCCAGGGGGCTATTCCAAAGGAAATATAACAGATTCTTCTCTCAAGGCCCAATTATACACTGTATATGGTGGCTGGGCTGGGCGGCCATGTCCTGCTTTTGCCCCAACATATCTCCGCCAGTGCTTGTGAGCAGAGCACAATTGTGCGCTGCCAGGATAAATGCGGCGATGTCTACATGCAAGGTTTCTTGAATTTGCTCACTAACAATCGCATTTCTATGGTATACCGTCAGTCTGCACATCACATTGCAAGATTGTAGCCTCTGTATGTTTATTAGTGGCTTATCTAGCAAATATGTATTATGAGATATTAGTCCATCGATGCTTAGTGATATTTTCCTTCCATCATTTTCTCTTGCCCTCCCATTTCGCTCTCTGCTCAGTGTATTTCTGTCAGTTATTAATGTGTGTAACGCAAATATTGAACTACTGCCTCTGTCAGTTAGTAATACTACAGAGGTAGTATTATTTATTGCATTTTTTGGGCTGATTCTCTTTTTGAACTGCCCTAATGCCTCATACTATGCCTATCAGAACAGTGTTTTTATCTGATGAGTTTTATGATAAACATTTTGAGTTTTGATAATGTTAGCAACGAAGACACCCTTCTTGCTGCCTTCCTTGTCATAGATGTATTGGTTACAAATGTATGTGTGCTTGATAATGCTTGCTTCGATGTTTGTGTGTCCTCGTAGCGTTTTTTTTTAATATCCATGAATAAACCAACTGATTAACATCTCTAGCTCCAACAGGGGTAGCTTAACGCACTTTACCTTTTACCACAGCACTAAAAGTTTCATGCTGCTGTCTTTTACTCAAATAAATGCTTGCTGTTCATCTAATCATCAATGCATTTCCTGCAGTTGGCACCAGTGGATATTATAACTACAATGGAAATGACAACCCATATGTTATGAACCAACCAAGAAAGACAAGCAATTGTACAGCGGATGAAAAGAAGCTCAAGCTTCAGATGTCCTTGAACAACTTTCATGCAGGAGATGCCGACCGGTTGGCATGTACTGGTAATTCAAGTGTTGTGTCTACTGGGCTGAAATTGTCCTATGAGGATAATGAGCGTAATTCTTCCTTCACGTCTGGTAGTGGAAGCATGTCTTCCTTGACTTCCACGACACCTTTTGGTCATGATATTATGACAGAAATGGAGAAAGGAAACAAAGAGATTGACTATTATTTGAGAAGTCAGGTAAACATTTATCCTAATTTATCTATCAACCAAATTTAAGCTGCTGTTTTTGCCCAGATAGCATTGGCAATATTTTCTGTTAGGCCCTGCTTACGTTTTTCTTGCTCTTTAGTTCATCATGGAAAGTTGGAAACACAGTATGCCTGGCAGTTTAGTGTGGAATGGTTGGGTTATCCAAATATGATTCCGTACTTTTTGGTGGCATCACTATTTACCACTTCCTAACAATGGAAATGGTCGATCTTCGCACTTCCTGATTGTCAAATATAAAATATATTGACATATTTCAGGCTTTATAGTCGTCTTCCTTCTGTTATGTTTGTAAAGAATATACTGTATAAGATAATGTGCTGGTTCCTTATTGTAATATCTAGTGTGTGCAGTCCTTAGTGATCCTGATGTCATAGGCTCTGGTGCTAACACATCATTTGGTTGTAGTTGAAAGAACTCACTGAGTTCAGAGATTTCTGGTGTTTATGTTGTGCCTCTTTTCCACAGGTGGAACAACTCAGTAGGCGTGTGAAAGAGATGAAGCAGAGGCAGATGGTTTCTCTTGTGGCTACTCTCGAACGAGGAGTAGGAAAGAAGCTGAAGGAGAAGGAGCTCGAGGTGGAGGCGATGAACAGGAAAAGCCAGGAGCTGAATGAACAGATCAGACAGGTCGCCATGCAAGTCCAGTCATGGCAGTCGGCTGCGCTCTACAACGAATCCGTCGCGAGCACCCTGAAGAGCCAGCTCATGAAAGTGGTGGCAGACCATGCCAACCGCACCAGGGAAGGTTGTGGCGACAGCGAAGTGGAGAGCGGCGCCGTGCCCATCCAGAAGAACATCAACGCCGTCCCCGGAGGCTTCTTTGAGTCGAGCCTCCTCCCTGGAGTCAAGAGCGGCGTAGCCGGCAGCGGGCTTGCAGCCTGCAGGTGGTGCGGAGCGAAGGAGGCGGCAGTGCTGGTGATGCCGTGCCGCCACCTGTGCCTGTGCGCCGACTGCGATAGGGTTGCAGATGCATGCCCTGTCTGTCAGTACCCCAAGAGTGGTAGCGTTGAGATCAACATGTCCTAGCATCAATCCTGTGTGCTTCGAATTGGACAGTGGTGTTATGACTCCGGTACATATAGTCAATCCGCCCCTCTCCCTCCATGATCCTGCCTTGGTTTGCACCTAGCAAGCTGTAGTGCTAAAGTTTTGGTGGTGGACATAGATTGTTAGCCCGCTCTTGAACGATCAAAATTTTCCTGGACCCATCTAGTGCTGAGCAGATTGTTGCGAAATTCCTTCATTCCAAACGATCTTCAGAGCATCACAACTGAAGTAACAATAACCAGCTCGTCAACATTGTGGTGGCGACATCATCATGTTTCACAGGACAGGTTCAAGAAGATGATGATCATATTGCTGAATATCATCATATCGCGGAATATATCTCTTCTTGATGCAGAGACAAAACAAGGAGCCAAATGTGAGCAGAGGCACCATGTAATCCAAGACGAGGGCCGCAGTCCGTTACAGGAGAAACAAAATATGACTATATGAGCAGGAAAAGGCCAGCAGGCACGCACACGCAACGCAACGTGCTGCTGCTACTGCTGGGTTTGCCAACGCCCAACGCAACGGACGAGTGCGTCCCAAGGCAATCCACAGATAAGGCCACCACGGCACTGCCGGTGCGGTGCGTGGGCTGCAAAACCAAACGGTGCCGGTGCGGCTCATGATTGCCGCCCGGGTCTATCTTGGGCAAAGTTCCGTCCCTGCATGTGATGGATCGTCCAAATGCAGCGTCTTTTAAAAGGGCCAATTGAAGAACGGTTTTACTATTTTGTCATGATGATTCAGGGTGAATCTCGCCCCTCTGATTGAAAACAAGATCGATGATCCAAATGTAACGTCTTCTAAAAGGGCCAATTGAGAAACGGTTTTACTAGTTTGTCATGATTCGGGGTGAATCTCACCCCGCTGATCGAGAATACGATTGTCGATCCAAATGCAATGTCTTCTAAAAGGGCCAATTGAAGAACGGTTTCACTATTTTGTCATGATTCAGGGTGAACCTCGCCCCTCTGGTCGAAAATAAGATCGGCCGGGATCGGATGCAAAATTTTGGATCAGGCTGAGCCCCGGAGGTATTTCATTGCCACTTGGCATCTCCTCTTGACTGAATTTTTTATTGAAAGAGAAGAAGAGAAAAAGATTTGCAAAACGAAATGGGATGAATAGCTGTCATCTTTATCTGCTATTCCTTGCAAACATTTCGTCGGCTCTTGAAAGGATTGGAGTGGACTGCAAATGGGGCAGGAGACGCTACCAGGCTTGATTGCAAAAATCCAATCGTGGAGCTACATCATCGACTGCCAATCATGAAATGCTGGTGCTATGCAGCCATGTGGCCGTGGTTAATGAGAGCCATATATATGCGTAGAGTCTCTAAAATCCTAGGATTATGATTTTACCATCATGCTTTTCGAATGCTTCACATAAGAGCATCTCCAACAGGCACACAAAAAGAGCTTTGCGCACTAAAAGTTTGTTTTTTTGGGCGCCGGACAGCTCCAGCAGAAGCTGCAGCGCAAAAAGCTTTTGGGCGCGCGCTGAAAAACGCTATTGCGCGCAGCATATTTAAGGCGCCGGATTACGCGCGCTTCACAATTTGCACTATGTATTTTTTGGGCGCGTGTTTTTGGGCACCTGCTAAAGCAAAGTTGGTCCCGACGCCTTAAAAGCGCTACAGTGGCGCGCTATAACGTTTATTGGGCGTGGACTTTTTGTGCGCCTGTTGGAGATGCTCTAAGCAAGCCATGTGATTTTTCCAATATGTACATGTGGCCATATGAGGCGGTGAAAATTTTCAAATCAAATTAGATAGATAGACTTCGAAAGAGCCTATGGGAAAAAGAAATACATGTGGGTCACTAATACAAATCGAACAACATGCACACAACAATCTTAAGAAAATAATAAACTTCCAAACCTTGTATGATAACACTTTGAATCAACGAGGGATGCAAGAATGATTAAGCACGTCGTAAGCTATCAACGTTAATGCAAAGACAATCCAAAAGGTCCCCTAATCTTCCCAAAATAGGGGCTATGGATGGATCCATCTAGTAGTTCTCGCAAGAAATAGTTAGTTATGACTTGTCCTCCTCCCACGATTGGAACTAGTACAACTTAGCTAATCAAACTTTGAGCCAATGATAACCTTTTCCTTGACGTGTGTAGCATTGTTTAATCACTTCACGGTAGGAGCATGCCAAGGAAATGTAGTACAAGGATGGATATATACATGAATGCATAGTGGGCCACCTTTTGCAGGGGATGAGTAAAGCATAAACCACACCTCGCCCTGTCTCACACTGCTATCATTCACTTGCACTTCAAGTCCAAAGGAGAAACGACCATCGAGCACACCACGCCTCCTCCCTCTCCCCATGCTTGCTCCTCCCACTATAAATTGTCGCAGGTACAAACCCTTGTAAACCAAGCCAAGGCGCGCGCACACGCACGCATGTACCCGAGCTTTAGCTGCCCCTAGCTTGCGCCATTAGAGTGGCTCGATCGGCCGTGTAGGTCGAAATGGGGCGAGGGAGAAGGAGAGGCATGAGAGCAGTGCCGTTGTTCTTGGTCCTGCTGGTGTTGGTGTTCATGGCCGTGGCGAGGGTGGCCGCGGCGGAGGGAAGCGACGTTGCAGAAGGTGTCGACGTTGGCGGAGGGGAAGGCGAAGACAAGGCTTTTGAGAAGAGGTTCTTGAAGCTGTGGACGGACGGAGGCGGCGGGGACGGGGAAGATCACCTCAGATGTTACGGTGATGACGAAGATGATTATGGTGATATCTATGACGACGAAAAAGTCAAAGAGATGACGGAGGAGGAGGAGGAGGGCGAAGATGGCATCATGTTGGGTGCGACGAGATGCCCGAATCCGAACAAGAAAAAGAAGAAGAAGAAGAGGAACGTCGTGAAGGTCGACAGCTTCGGCGCCGTGGGGGACGGCTGCGCCGACGACACAGAGGTACGCTCATTTCTTAATAGTCGTTCATGCCAACGCCGTGATATATATATGATACGTACGTACCTACCGACTCTCCATGGCGTGACGATAGGAGCTGCTATATCCTTAGCAGCAGGTGCATGGGAATGGCGAGAAACCGGCAAGAAACTGCAGAGGCGTTTCCTGCAAATCGATCTCACCTTTAGCTTCAGTTTGTTGCAACTTCATTTTTCCAATGAAAAAGTTCAGCGTGTCTACATTAAGTATAGTCAGGTGATTTATTAGTGTGGTGGTGTGTGGTTCTTTCACAAGATAACGGATTAGTCAACTTGCCACATCCACGTTTAATTAATCACCAACTCGCCAAAAAAATAAAGTATAGCTACCTAAGATGCATTGCGATCTTTGTTGGCTTAGAAGTTTTCTGTAAAAATATATGGCTATCAAATCATTGTATACGTCACTCGGACTCTGCTCGATGCTGCAAGAAAAGTATGCACATGCATATGCGTGTCCATGCCTTGCAAATGCGGCTATGATGATTGCCACACTTTCCATGTGTTCTTGGATCGATCGATGAGCTGACCTGTTCTGTTCAGAATAATCATAGACAGAGATAAAGAGATTTGATAGCGATGGGGGTTGCTTAGCTTAACTGACTCATCGATGCGTTCAATCACCATCCACCACCTGGCGGCGTGCAGATCTCGTTGAGAGATCCCGCCTTTTAGGAAACCAAAATATGGTATGCGTGCACGCGTGCCTCTGCATATTTAACTTGTATACTCAAAATATTTCCATTTTCATACTACAGTGCAGCAACTCTGCATATTTCATTGATTAAGTATCGGCAAAATGGAATAGAAATACGTAAAACATAAGCCTTCTCAAATGTACATGCAATGCAAGGAGATGAGAACTATACATTTATTTGTAGCCGTATGCATCGCTCTGATGCAGAGGACGGGGATATCCCCTTCTTTTTAAAAAAAAAGAAAAAAAAGAAAAAATATTTCATTTTATTTTTATTTTTGTGAAAGGCCACCAGATCCGTTAACCAAAGTCCAGCATTACAAATAACCCTTGGAAAACAGAAATAAATAAAATATATCTTGACCCTAGGGTAGCAGACCACCTTCTACCTTAGAAAGGAGTCGCCGCTGCCGAAGCGGGTCTGACTTTGTTGTCTGCTGGTTGGGAAGTCGTCGAGTCTAGCGTCCAACCAGAGCAGCGTCCTGGAGGAGAAGCTGGCATTAGAGCGGTGAATGATCCAACCGCCAATCACCCGCCGATAGCGCCGCCCAAAATGACCACTGCCGGCACGACTCTTATACATTCTATCCGGTGCTCATGAACTCGGAATAGTTGACGTTGAAGCAAGGCCCGAGCCATAGAGCAAATACCCTAGATGTTGCAGCCGCCACTGACACGTCGCTGGTAGCACTAAGGCACACCAAAACGCTATACCTAGGGGAGCACTTGAAGACAAAGCAAACATACCCCACGACTTCACGGCTCATATCATCGCCAACTATGTAGCAAGGTACTTAGAATCGTGATTTCAAATCGAATCGAAGCTCCGATGATAGGGTTGCAAATCGTAGAATCTTGACTATCAGGAGCTCCAATGGTAGGGTCGCAGACCGAGCAGACGTGGTTCACGCTGAGCAGCCTGAAGAGGCATCGCTCATGGAAGGAGTGCGTGCAGGGCATGTCCGGAGCTTGTACCCGCCCTCGAAGTCGTCGAGGCAGACGGGGCAGTACTGCTCCCTCGTCTCGTCGACCCTCGGCGTGTGCAGCAGCGCCACCGCGCTGGTCGATGCCGGCACGAGCTTCATCCTCTCGCGCTCGCGCGCGTGGAGGTCTAGGAGCTCGGCGGCTCCGGCATCGTACTCCTCCATCATCTTTCTTCGCCCATCTTGTATCTTCGGGTCGTCGGGATCGATGCGGGGTCGAGAGTTGGCGCCGTGAGTCCGCGTGTTTTGGTTTGGCCTTTCGTGGTCGAGATCGTCGCGAGCGGCACCGGTTGATGGCTTCATTTGTTTGCCGGAGCAGAGGTGCCGACGATCTGCTGATCGGGGGAGTCAGGCAAGGCAATGGTGATGATTGTCGGATGGGGAATTGCCTCTCTTTTCAGGGGGCAAAACAGTGATCACCTTTCGTTATCTTTTCCTGAAATAATAATAATAATAATTTTCCAAGCAGAGATTACAAAAATAGAAATATTGGCATGGAAAAATTTCTAAAATAATCTTCTCAACCTCCTTTGATTCAAAGGAATTCTATATGATTGTTGGAGGATTGAATCCTTTGAAATTTTTCCCACGTTGGTGCTTTGATTCATAGGATTGGATTCAATAGGAATTTTTTAACGGAATCTTTAGTAATCTAACATCCACTCCAACCTCCTTTTAGAATTTATTTATTTATCCTGTGGCATCAAACATTCCTTAGTCCTTACTAACTCTATTGGATCCAAGTGGACATGCCACTTCAATCCTATACCTTTTCTATTCTTGTATTTTCAAAATCATGCGAGCAAAAAGGCCCTCGGTGATTTCGTCGTAATTTTGAAATGTCAGTCGTTTAATGGTAGATATGAAACTTTTGAGTTTTGCTGTACACAAATTCAAATTGTTTTCAAAATACTTTTCAATTTTTTAAAATACTTTGTTGGATTTTATCGAGTTCAAGTGTGATTTTTGTTATTCGGACAAAACGACAACTGAAATTCAGTGATATTGGTCATAGGTGAAAAAATTCGAAGACTTGATTCAAAAACATACATGCTGTAACAACTTCGCTGATGCATGGAACCACATGTCTATTAATACAGAAGAAACCAGATATCAAATTCCAGTTCACAAAGACCAAAATCGAACCAGAGGAGGAGCTGATGGTTTATAAACCCACACCCACCCTTATATGTTTTTTCTTTTCATCCTTTCTCGGTATGGTATGATTGATTAATTAATCTTTTTGAATCTAATCCTAATTCGTTGGAACCATATAAGCCCATACCTAGAACTCTGATTAAGAAAAAAAAAATGTAACCACCTGCAGTATAAAAAAATAAACTTTGTACCTGAATATAGACGTGTATTTCTGCCCCACATTGGTGAAAGTAAGTAAAGGGACAGTGGTATCGCCAGCCCACCGGGGTTTAAATCCTGATGCTCGTATTATTTCTGAATTTATTTCAAGATTTTCGGCGATGCGCTTTTAGTGGGAGGAGACGTTTCCGTCGATGACGAGGCGCCTACGATGACTTCGTAAATTTCAAGATGACATGCCGGCTTAGTCTCTCAGAGGTGCTTATAGGGGTAGGGTGTGCGTGTGTGCGTTCATATGAGAGCTTGCGTCTGTACTGATGTTCAAGAAAAAGGAATTAATTCTAACTCCCACATGATAAAAGAAAGTAAAAGGTAAATAACACGAGAAGTGCCTGTAAAAAAAAAGCACGAGAAGTGTACTATTCATATGTTCTTACTTCCAGTTCCATGGGTTAATCAATTCAGTAACAAAATGAAGTGAAATGTTGAGTTAGCTGATGTTTGATGAATTAAATCTTACTAGGCATTCGCAAAGGCGTGGGAGAAGGCGTGCTCGCTGAAGGACGCGGTGCTGGTGGTGACCGCCGGCCGGCGCTACAAGGTGGGGCCGAGCAGGTTCATGGGCCCGTGCAAGGAGAGGCTGGTGGTGCTGATCCACGGCACCATCGTGGCGCCGGAGGAGCCGTCGGAGTGGAACCCCAAGAGCCCGCGGCTGTGGCTCCTCTTCGGCGGGCTCGTCGGCGCGCGCATCCAAGGCGGGGGCGTCATCGACGGCTCCGGCTCCAAATGGTGGGCCAACTCCTGCAAGGTGGACCGGTCGAAGCCGTGCAAGGGCGCGCCGACGGCGGTGACCATCGACTCGTGCCGGGGTGTGCGGGTGCGCGGCCTGACCATCCAGAACGCGCAACAGATGCACCTGACGGTGTCGCGGTCGCGCGGGGTGCGTCTGGACGGGATGGCCATCCAGGCGCCGGGGGACAGCCCCAACACCGACGGCATCCACGTGGCCGAGTCCACCGCGGTGACCATCACGGGCGCCCGCATCGGCACCGGCGACGACTGCGTGTCCATCTCCAACGCCAGCTTCGCCGTGAAGATGAAGGGCATCGTGTGCGACCCGGGCCACGGCATCAGCATCGGCAGCCTGGGGCAGGGCGGCTCCTTCGCCGCTGTGGAGGGGGTGACCCTCGACGACGCCCGCATCGCCCGCGCCCAGAACGGCGTCCGGATCAAGACGTGGCAGGGCGGCGCCGGCTACGTGCGCAACGTCCGCTTCTCCAACGTGCTGGTGGAGGCCGTCGACCACCCCATCATCATCGACCAGTTCTACTGCGACTCCAGGACGCCGTGCGCAAACCAGACCACCAACGTGGCCGTCAGCAACGTCATGTACCGGAACATCTCCGGCACCTCCACGCGGGACGAGGCCATCAAGTTCGCCTGCAGCGACGCCGTGCCCTGCAGCGACATCGTGCTCAGCAACGTCAACCTGCTCGGGGACGACGGCGCCGAGGTGCAGGCCGTGTGCAACTGCGCCATGGGGCTGGGCTACGACCCCGTCCGCCCCGCCGTCGACTGCCTCAGGAACAACGCGTGCGGCAGCGGCGGCGGAGGGCTGAAGCTAGGCGCGGAGGAGCCGTCGACGACGGTCGCGCCGCTGCACACCGAGCTGTGAAAAATCATGGGATTGACACGTAGGGATTGTGTTAACCTACGTGTCGGATATGCCCTTAAATTTTCACCAAGCTGTTACGTGCTGCAATTAATTAACTAGGTTTTTTGTTTGTGTCCATCTATCGTCATGTGTATCGATAACTGGGTCCGTCTATGTTACATCTAGATGTGAGATAATATCTCACATCTAAGTATGATGTCAACGGCACCTCCTCATTGATTATCAGTGTGTCCGATTTTGATTTGTCATAAAGCCTGAAACAGACGAAACGCTCACGTCCGCCTCGGTGGGCTGGCCCCTAGCGTGTACTAGCAGGAGGCTAGCTTTTTACGGTGAGCTTCAGCCAGCCGAAGATTCCTTCTTGCTGCATGTGTCTCTTCCTGTACGTGCATGGTAGATCGATAGATCATATTAGATCGGATGACGATGCAAGGAGAAGCAGCAAGCACCTTGGTAAGTTGTGTTGCGTCACAACTCGAAGCTAGCGATCGATTTTTTTTCAGAAAAATCTAGTGATCAGATGTATGTCAGTGAAAATAAAGTAGTTGTACCATCAATGGTTCTGGATTCAGAAAATGGTCGCCAATTCAAAATAAATAAATAACAAAGTTCCAAAATGTCATGAATTTAAAATTGTTCATATATTTGAAAAAAAGTTTAAAAAGTTTAAAAACAAAATGTAAAGGAAGATAAAAAAATAATGAAAAAAATAGAAAAAACCAACAGAATAACCAGGAACCCCAAAAGATGAAAATAGACAAAAAAGAAGATAACAGAAAAGCCGGTTGCAATCATCCAAAACCACTAAAAAAGTTCCTAAAATCGGATCCCCAAACCACAACTCGCTCCGAGGAATCCTCGATCGCTTCCCAAAAAAACACTCACTAACAACACAAATAGTCCAACCTACTATGAGCGAATAGTGAGCGACCGCTAAGCTTAGTGATTGTATCAGCGCCCCCCGAGGTCCTTATTGTAGGTATTAGCGGGCCTTGTTGTTTTATTATCAACATGCAACCGGGACAAAGGGTCGAGTCATGGAACTGCAAGTCCATCCTTGGCTGCATGTCGAAGGTGGACAATTGGGTAGGGTTCAAGCAAGTTGCATCTAGGGTGAAAACAAAACAACACCCTCCCGTGTTTCAAGTCGAGGGTGAACTTGCAATTGGGCCTACAGAGACCCCTAGTTTCAGGTCAAGGGTCTAATTGCAACTACTATGAAACAAGAAAAAAACAACACCCCCCCAGTTGCGAGTCGATGATGGACTTGCAACTAGGACAACTACAAAACAACACCCTCCCGAGTTGTGAGTACATGGTTGACTTGCAACTGGGGCGATTACAAACTACATCGCTCAAGTTGCAAGTCGAGGGTGGACTTGAAATTGGAGCGAAAACAAACAACACACTCCCCGAGTTGCGAGTACATGGTTGACTTGCAACTGGGGCGATTATAAACTACATCTCTCGAGTTGCAAGTCGAGGGTGGACTTGCAACTGGGGTGAAAACAAAACAACACCCTCCCGGGTTGCAGGCAAGGGTAGACTTGCAACTGGGCCGACATAAATCCCTAGTTGTAGGTCGAGGGTCTAATTGCAACTACTATGAAACAAGAACAAAAAAACACCCCCACCCTAAGTTGCTAGTCGAGGGTGGACTTGCAACTAGGGCAACTACAAAACTACACCCTCCCGAGTTGCGAGTACACGGTTGACTTGCAACTGGGGCGATTACAAACTACATCCCTCGAGTTGCAAGTCAGGGGTGGACTTGCAATTGGGGTGAAAACAAACACCAAACAACACCCTCCCGAGTTGCGAGTACATGGTTGACTTGTAACTGGAGTGATTACAAACTACGTCCCTCGCGTTGCAAGTCAGGGGTGGACTTCCAACTGGGGTGAAAACAAAACAACACCCTCCCGAGTTGCGAGACGGGTGTGGACTTGCAACTGTGCCGACAGAAACCCCCAGTTGCATGTCGAGGGTCTAATTGCAACTAATATGAGACAAGAACAAAAAACAACACCCCCCAGTTGCGAGTCGAGGGTGGACTTGCAACTAGGGCAACTACAGAACTGCACCCTCCCGAGTTGCGAGTACATGGTTGACTTGCAACTAGGGCGATTACAAACTACATCCCTCGAGTTGCAAGTCAGGGTGGACTTGTAACAGGTGAAAACAAACAAGAAACAACACCCTCCTGAGTTGCGAGTACATGGTTGACTTGCAACTGGGGCGATTACAAACTACATACCTCGACGTGCAAGTCAGGGGTGGACTTGCAACTGGGGTGAAAACAAAACAACACCCTCCCAAGTTGCGAGTTGTGGGTGGACTTGCAACTGGCCGACAGAAACCCCTAGTTGCATGTTGAGGGTCTAATTGCAACTACT